CAACCCTCAACTCCCCCACCCCCATCCCTCACAGTTAACCACGAGCCTTGTCGTCTCCTTCTACCCTTCACCTGCACCGATATTCCCCTCCTTTTCTATATATACTCGCCAAAAGCATGAATATATACCCACAACCTATATATAAGAAACTAGCTAGCTAGAGTACTAATTAATCAGCAAAACATAAACGTCTATAAAATGGCTGCACGATCAGGAACCGGGCGGTTTCCGACCGTTGACAAATGCTCGTCCGACGGCCGCGAAAAGCACACGGTCGTGGCCGACCTTGACGGAACGCTGCTCTGCGGCCGCAGCTCCTTCCCCTACTTCGCGCTGGTCGCGTTCGAGGTGGGCGGCATACTGAGGCTCCTCTTCCTCCTACTGCTAACCCCGCTCGCGGGAGCCCTCTACTACTTCGTCTCGGAGTCGGCGGGCATCAAGGTGCTGATATTCGCGACCTTGTCGGGCATGAAAGCCGCGGACGTGGAGTCCGTCGCCCGGGCGGTTCTGCCCAAGTTTTACTCGATGGATCTGCACCCGGAGTCGTNTCTGCAAGGTGCGTTTATTTTGAATTTGTTTTAGAGGGGGCGATGAAAGCTATGTTGAAGGGTAAAAATATGAGCTTTGCTACAACGACCCAAAATATGAGATCAATAGAGAGTACAAGTAAGATGTTCTCCTTAGTGCACTTTTAATGGGTTGCACGCCAAGCACGTGACAATAAAGGATGAAAATACCAACAACTTTACTCTGTTTTATTTTATCATGTTTGGGGGTTGAACTTCGAAGACGGCAGTTTGGTCATTTGACCGCTGGCAAGTAACGAAGTGAGGGGTATGTTAGAAAAACCTTAGAGTTCAGGGGTTTACGTGCAAAAGTTCCCTAAGTTTGGGGAATTAAGTGAGGCTTACCCAAACCTAAATGCGTACTTGGGATGTGAAGAATGTCTTTGAAACATTCAACAGGGAACAGTTTATGTGTACGACCAAAAAATCTGCGACGCAGCGACGATGCTCGTGACCCCATTATTTGGTTGGCAAATATGCCTTGAATGAATAATTTTCTCAAAGATTTAAATGTTCGCCTTAATTCAAATTCCATTCTCAAGGAGAAAGTACCCAGTTAGAACGGACATTGACATTTAATATGCACCAAATAGATGTCAATCATTGGATCCATGCACTGATTTTAAAATCTAATGATAGAATTGTTGACATCCATTTAATGCACATTTAATGTGAGGACCATTTAATGCTTTTCTCATATCTGTTTAGCCACCGTATAATCAATTTGGTCCATAATTCGTTTACTTTTGTGCAACACATACGTTTTAAGGTAGCATTTAGTGATGTAGATCATCCATCATATGTTTAGCTAATAAGACACATCAGTGTCAATAAGTAGCCATAATCCCATAACAGCGGAAATGTATAGTCAAATAATCACATCTTTTCCGTCGTCTCTGTTATTTCCCTTATAACAGAATAAACTGCCGACTCGAAACAACAACATATCTTAATTCTGAGAAAGCAGAATTAGTCTTTTTCATATTCTAATCTTCCTCGTCTTATTTTAGATGTCTTTTGTACATAAGCTTCTCTACCTGTGTAAAAAAAAATTATTTACTTGCAGGAGGGTTACGTGGTTCCGGCCGATCCTCAACTCGAGCCGGTCAACAGAGAGCAGCTCCCCAAACCCATCGTATTTCACGACGGCCGCCTTGTTCAGAAGCCAACCCCACTCCTCTCCCTCCTCATAATCCTCTGGATCCCCATC